AGGGGGGAGCCTGTGGCTACCCAAGAAGATATCATTTTGATACAAAAAGAAGCAACTAAAAGTGAACAGGATATCTGGAAAAGGCGGGGTGCAACAATGAGTGAACAACGGTTATGGAAGTCGCAGGACAGTCTGTTAGTGGCTCCAGTGACGTTTTCAATTCTGATTTCTGAAATACACAGTATAAAGTGCCAGGCACATCAGAAAGGAAAATGATGCTGTGAATCATGGAAACAATGCTGCTGACGAAGCAACCAAATCAGCAGCTAAATGTCAGGTGGCCATTTTGGCAACAATGGTGATGTTGGAGCCTGTGGCTACCCAAGAAGATATCATTTTGATACAAAAAGAAGCAACTAAAAGTGAACAGGATATCTGGAAAAGGCGGGGTGCAACAATGAGTGAACAACGGTTATGGAAGTCGCAGGACAGTCTGTTAGTGGCTCCAGTGACGTTTTCAATTCTGATTTCTGAAATACACAGTATAGATCACTGTGTCAGGGGGGAGGTGATGAAGAAGATTAGACAACAAGGGTACTGGTCGCCCTACATGCAAACAATGGTGGATGAAGTGTTGAGCCAATGTGAAATATGTGCTCAAAATAATGTGAAGTGTAAAAACATCTGTGGGACATTCCAGTGCCAGAAGGTCCATTTAAACATCTGGTTATGGATTATGTCGATATGATAAAATCAGTTCAAGAAAAAAGATACATGCTCGTGATAATTAACAGATTTAGTAGATGGGTTGAAGCTACACCATCAAAAGATTTAAGTGCTGAAACTGTTGTTAAATTCCTGATAAGAGAGGGAATACCATGATTTGGTATTCCATCTGAAATTAATTCTGACAATGGGTCAGCATTTGTGCAGAAAGTAGCAAAAGGTATTCTACAACAGCTAAGAGTCAAACAACGGTTGGGAGCGGTGTATCACCCACAAAGCCAAGGAATGGTTGAGAGAATAAATGGAACCCTAAAGGCTAAGCTAAACAAAATCTGTGCTGCTACTAAACTGAACTGGGTGGAAGCTTTGCCACTAGCACTTATGAGCTATCGAATGCAAACGCATAGAATCACGCATCTAACACCGCATGAAGTGCTAACGGGTCGACCCATGCCAGCACCACAACTACGAGGTCCCTTTAAAGGACCTCCACTTGAACAATTGCAGAATGAGTTAAAAGCATATATGAAGTATCTAACTATGATTCATAGAACTATCTATGTGCAGGAAAAAGCCAGAGAGGAGAACCTGGAGCAGAAGGTGGAACAGCCAGTGAAACCAGGAGACGTGGTATATATCAAGGTGTTTCAAATGAAGTGGCACCAACCATACTGGGAAGGTCCATATCGGGTGATCAGGGCTACGCCAACAGCTGTCCAGGTGGAAGGAAGCACAACGTGGTATTATCTGAACCATTGTACAAAGAGTCAAATAAAGGATGAAGAAAACACAGCCAAAAAGGAGAAAGATGAAAGAAGTACAAAATAATGACACTCACGTTTTTGTGCACTCAACTCTAGATGATTGCGAGTCAAGCCTGAAGACAATACGCAGGACTTCACAGACGTCAGAAGTGAGAGAGAGGGAAAGGGTGATCCAGCCCCGGACAAAAGTCCAAATGTTTAAAGCAGATGAGTATGATGCAAAAACACCCACACCAGACACTCTGCCAGTATTGTCATATAAAAACAAATGTACAAACCGATTTGTGTGTCATACGCAAAGCAGTGTAAAGATACGTAAGAAAAGGGAAATACACACAGCATGGATGTGGAAGGATGTAGAATTTCTAGCAGAATTTATAAAGCCAGACAAGGAATATGGCCAGATCTGGCACATGTTTGGAGAAGAATGTTGAATTTCTAGCAGAATTTATAAAGCCAGACAAGGAATATGGCCAGATCTGTCACATGTTTGGAGAAGAATGTTGTACATACATTCTAGTGGACACTGCTCCAAATGGAACTTTCTCTATTGCTATGAAAAAATTGAAGAAATTACAGGTTGAAATGTTGGCAGAGAGGCACGTGTGGCAAGGACTAGAAGCGATAGTCGGAGAATGGGGAGTGTTAGGTATCAAGGCTGTTGTGATTTTATTCATAGTATTAACTGTTGTTGGCTCCCTACATTGCTTGCATATAGGGCAACCAGTACCTCTGTTGTCCAATCTTCTTCATCACCTCCCCCCTGTGGAGGGGTCACCAATTATATTGTAGAAAGAGATGTCTACAAATGAGGCAGACCAGGACACACTTCTCCGTCTCGGGGGATTTATTGTATGACAGGTTTCTGACTATGGCTGTTATTCTGGTCTACATGATGTTTTTCTCTACCACAAGCACACCTGAATATAAGCCATGCCCACTAAATTTAAAAAGAAAAAAAAATTGTAAATATATAGGCTGCACTCTTTATAAGCCGCAGGACTTCTCCGTCTCGGGGGATTTATTGTATGACAGGTTTCTGACTATGGCTGTTATTCTGGTCTACATGATGTTTTTCTCTACCACAAGCGCACCTGAATATAAGCCATGCCCACTAAATTTAAAAAGAAAAAAAAATTGTAAATATATAGGCTGCACTCTTTATAAGCCGCAGGAGTCTACATTGTTACATGGGATATTTACACATAAAGATTTCTTTTCACTCTTAATTAAAAATTTTTTCCCCGAACAGTGCCTGTAACACATCTGGTTACACGTTTGCTGTTTCCTACTTTGGCGCCCCGACCGTAGTTGTAATGCACAGGGGAGAGTGCTCCAGGGCCGATGCTAACATTAACTCCAGGGCTAACTCCCTTCCACAGCCACACCAAGCACAACAGAACATAAACATAACATTTTAACAGCTCCTGTATAACCAAGTCACACTTTAACATTACAGGGCTCAAACCACTCTCAACTTTTGCTACCATTCGCTCTCTCGTGCACCCCACCCACATATACGCAGACAGCCATTCACAGACACATAGTAGCCTACCAGACAATTTATTGATTGCTAACGGTTCAATTAGACACATCATTGTTTAAGCTGCAGGGTTCAAAGCATTTGAAAAAAAGTAGCGGCTTATAGTCCGGAAATTATGATACCTAAATATGACCTCTGTAAATTTTAAGACAATGCAATACTGTGCTATTTTCACTACACTGTTGTCTTGTCCCATTTGTTCATTTACTGGTTGCACATTAGCCCTGATAAAACAGTAGGGCTGCCTCTTCCTGTTTAAAAATATTTTTACTTGCTAATGGTTGCGAAACAACAACAAAAACACTGATTCACACAAGCTATAGTGGCCTGAATACGGTGGTCTAAACATTAGCAGCTACACTCCCTGAACCCATTTTGTCTTTCTATTGTAGGTATGTAGGACATCAAATAACAAAATTTAGAAGTAGAAATGAAAACCGTTGAAACAAAAAGGTTGAGAAAATATCTCTGCATTAATACCAAGTGCAAAGAATTGTACCGAGTGTGTATAGAGATTATGCCCTTCTATTGCATTAGGATCCACCGAGTGGGATGAATTCAACCACAAAATATTGCACTATAAAATTGTTGTGACCACTGGGGCATAAAATGCCTAATTACACTGAAATTGGAGCTGGAAAGGCCATCACGTCTCATTGGCGGGAGGGATCTGTAATGTGATAAGTTACAAACAATGTAAAGCCTTATGTCAATTTAAAATAGGTTTAAATGAATTAAGTTACATTCAGGTGCTCAACTGATTCTTCAGGGGAACAAAAATAGAATAGCTTGTTTTAGCAGGCTGAAGTTGAGATTTGTCTCAATAAATATTATGCAAGATGTATATACAGATTCAAAGTATATCAGTGTAAAGAAAACAAGTAATCATTAGTGTTGAGCAACATTGTGTGACAATGGAACTGCCTTACACTGTTGTTTAATCTCACAATTAACACATACTGTTATTCAGGTGAACGAAACTTTACGAGGCCTGATACACCTGGTACCACACACCAATTCTTCTGTTTAACAAAACCGTTTCAGGCAATGGTGACCTCATACTTTTAAGAAGCTAATTTGTTTATGTTTAAAGAATAATCAAGAAACCCCAAGGAATTTAAATTGAGTAAACAAAGGGTAATGAAACTCACCTCTCATCCAACATTGTGTTTTAGTTACTCTATGCTTTGATGAAAATAGATTATTGTAAATGCTGTTATCGGTATAAAGTATATTAGACTGATGTTACTTTTGCTGATAAACACTTATTTGAGTGTTTTTAACAAAACATTACATTCAGTGGACGCTTTTATCCAAACTGACTTACAATTTGAGGAAAACAAACCATTTTCTGGTGAAATAAATCACAGTATTTGAAAAGACAAATATGTGTGCGTGTATTTCATATCTTTGACCTTTGTGTTACATTTGCTTCTATTCCAACAATTATCAACAAAACAAATAACTATCAAAACTCAAAATACCAAACGTTAACAAACATGATCTCTGGCCAAATGTATTACAAATATATATATAATTATGAATTTCTACAAATAATGTATTTTTAAAAAATCTTTCATGATTGTAAAAGATTTAAATGGGAGGATAAATAAGCACATTACAAGACACATTCTAAATATTAACAACAGCACAAGTAGTTATGAGCTAGTTAGCAATTGCTTGTTTGTTTTTGTTTCTTTAAACTTTGTATAAAATCTAGTTGAGGAGCATAATATTTAATATCTGTGTTTGTAAATGGATAGGGCACACTTTATATTTTGAGATTTTGACAATAAAATGCTTGAGAAGGATGTTTTCGCTGATAAATGCACCTGTATATCCACTTGCCAGGGCCAGGCCCCATCCTCGGCGTTAGACCCTCCTACAATCCTGTTCTCAATGACCGGTGGTCGGCCACATTCTTGTGCGTGCGCAGTCGTTACACCTGGACATAAAAGCAAGGGCATAAACTCCCACACACGAGATAAGAAGAAGTCTGACAAAGAACAAAACAAAAGACCTACCAGCGACTGCAACGAAGAGAAAAACAGCCATTAATTTGGATTTTAACGTCATCGTTTTCGTTTCAATTTTTCGGATATATCCACAGTGCCGCTGTTTACAAGAACACACAATGGCAACCAGGTTTCCTCGAAAAAACGGAAGATATCTCACCGCCACAATCCTAGTGGAATCCAACTAAGACTCAAAAAGATTTCACTAACCAAATTTCTATATTCTTCTTGATATAAAACAGATAAAATGTAACATTCCTCCCGAAGAACTCAGTTTCGGTACAACGGTAGATCACCTGTGTGCCCACCTATAACGAATCGAAACACTGGTCCAGCCCCGACTCACAGTGACGTAAAGGGATGCGTTCACCGACCAATCAGATTAAGAGCATTAATACGAACACAAACGAAGGCGTAACAGAAACCCAGAGACATTCACATTTTTTGTGTAATCTAAATCGCTGATCCTTGATAAGTGACAGTGTCAATAATTGTCACAGAACAGAAAATACAGACTAACACCGCCACTCTTTACGCAGCAACAAATCCCAAGGAAAACTACAAGTCCTCCAAAGTTTCTTCATCATAGCTAACAATTGAATAACATTGTTCATATGTTGTTTACTGTCTGAACTATGGTTTACTGGGAAAAAAACTAAATAAAAAGAAAAAATTGATTCCATGACTGCACTGATGGATAAGCACATTGTTTTATTATATTATATTATATTATATTATATTATATTATATTATATTATATTATATTATATTATATTACTTAAATTAATATTAATATTACTTCTGGGCTGCATCACATATCCTTGTGATACTGGTACTGACCAACCCTTTAACCCAGGAACATAAAATCAGATGGAGTTCATCTTTACATCCATTTTATTTTTAAAATGTGTTTAACAGGTTATATAGGTCAATTCAAAAGAAACATGTCAATGTATTGTCTTCTCTTGATTGTACATGTCATTTGATGGCAATTATTTGATGTCAGCCTTAAAAAGTTGGCAAAAAAAACAACATATGGCACAAACAAAAGTTGCATGTAAACATGTAAACTATTACTTGAACATTTTTGCACACAACACTGTTATACACAATGGAGCAGATAAAGCGCTGCATTAGTACTTCATCAGCCACTCCGCCAACGAGAGATTCAGCTTCGGGCAACAAATTAATTGCCCTTAAGCCATCAAACAGATAACGCTGATTGGATACATTTACGTTGCATGGGCATATCTCACAAAAGGTAATTTCCACCAAAATAGGTTGATTTATATTTTATATATGACATGTTATGGTACATTTAAACACACCCATACTCAAAGTAAGTGATTATTTGTTTATTTCATTATTCATTCATTTCATTATTATTTGTTTATTTAAAAAAACAAAATACCGGTAGGGGCGGCGACAGATAGCCCTTTATGGGCCAGCCGCCTGCAGGGAACTGAATCATTGTGTACACGGTAATAAAATTCACTCGATACTCACTCCAGGAATAATATAAACCGGTTAAACAGGTCTCCAACAGAACAGAGACAGTTCCTTAGGACGCATAAGTACACACACAGACATCAACTTGTGGTTATTTATGAATTGTTGTTGCAAGATAAGTTGTCACTTAATGCAATATAATGTATACACAGCATAATTCATACAGCAGTAAATATAGATATCTGTAGTAAGAAAATGTCTTGGATTGAGTTAAATAAAAAAATGTTCCTATAAATGTACTGTTTGTATTTTTCTCTCCCCTCTGCCGTCGCTCTCATTTTTCCCCTTTCTCTCTTTTCCAAGGCAAACGAATAAACACTCAACCTAGATCTGCTTACCGTAGGATCTTTTTCTTTTCTCATCTGTTGCCAAGTAGATCTGCTTTAATTATAGTCGATATTTGTAAAACACATTCTGCTGTATCATTCTCCATGTTAAGGAATTTGAAAAAAGAAAATCTAATTTAATGTCAAAACTGCAAAGTACATTAAGGTAAAATGTGTTTTGTAAAATAAATAGATAGATAGATGGATAGATAAACTTAGACTAAGACTTTCTTTATTGTCATTGCACAGAAACACAAAAAACAGTGAGTCTGGTAACGAAATGTTGTTGCTTGGCAACTACATCTATAATAACTACATCTACCAGCATTTTCAGAAAGTCATTATGTATTATAGCACTGAAGTGATCTAAAGTGATGTAAGACAGGTGAGTAGTTAAATTCCTCAGAACCAGTGTTAGGCATTAGTTTTTATTTTTGAAACAGTATCACAGTAATTTGAGAAGGACAGCTCACAATGCTATAGACTATAAACTCTATGCACCCAGTTAAATATGCTGTGTTAAATTCAGATCTGAAATGTTTCAGAGCAGCTAAGAAGCTATGGTAGACCTGAAAATGACTGTTTTTGGGATAGGCAATGCTGTTGAATATATGGTATATACAATCAGGACACTATAATAAAACAATGGCAGAGGATAAGCAGGTTCAAAAACACCCAACTGGCCTGAAATAGTGAAAAAAAACAAAAAGATAAACTACATTACTACTGCCACAAATATTGTTTTTATAATTATTATAAACAGACAGTTTATACATAGTGAAGCATCAATTAAAATAATTTCTACCAGTGTCATGTACTACTATGATGCAGCCAAAACAGTTTAAATAATAATGTCTTGTTGAAACACTGTCCAAAATGCCAAACTTACATTCAAGTTTGACATTTATTTATTTTTTTATCTTTTTTGTAATCAGATCAAAAGAAGAACTTGTAAACTAGACAAATGCAACTGAAATTACAACAATATTTCTGGTGATATACCAACAAATGTTCTTTCTGTGTTTGCAACATTTACAAAATTATTCAGCCCCTTAGTCACATTCATCCTTATGTAGGTACTACAACAGTCCTTTTAAGGACTCGAACTCCCATAATTCCACTGTTCAGGACTTTCGCTCCGAAGGACCCCTGATGAAAAGAGAAACCTGCTCGTCTCAGAAGACTAAGAATAAACGCGCTTTTGTAGAGACCATTGCCCACGGTGATAAATGCACTAGTAGCGTCTTTTTCTTAACTGAGTTAACCGGTAGTAAGTTACACAAGTAAGGTAGCGACCAAAAGCAGTTATTGAAAAGTTTAGAAGCGACAGGATTCCTTCTAACGGTCAGAGACTTTTCCTCCCGAAGAGGACTTTCGGAACCAAGAGGACTCTCTGCACACAGTGGAACCAGACGGACGTCCCCAACTCTGGCAAGGACCCAAGAAGTGCGGACTTTCCACTACACTCTAAATACGAGCAGACGTCCACTACAGTAAGGCTGGCATTTGGGCACGTTAGTTAACCTGTAGTATTGTTAAGTGCTATTTAAACTTAGGGACAGTTTAAGTACGCATATTGAATTTTGTTGTCTGAAATCTGTGCTGCTTTTATAGCTAGGCTGTTGCAGGCACTTCTTTTCTAACCTCCTGACTCGGTGTTATACTCTGTTATACACCGTCAGTATTTACTCAAGGGTAAGGTAAGGGATGGGGTGGCTTACTGGACTATGGCTTTTCCTGATTAGTTGGTTGTTTTTATAAATTGACTATCTTACTGTAAGACACATCTTCAGTAGTGGACCTTGGGGTCATTGAGTGTTTCAACCATTATCACTAGACACTCTCCCCCTAGGAAGGCCCAGCTGGGGTTGATCATGCCCCAGGGTGTGTCTTGTTAATTAATTACTATTAGGTTTGTAACTAGATTGTTAACTTGATTGTAGCTAGATTCCTAACTTAGATTGATGGCCTTTTTTTGCGCTAGAGTTACCGTTTATTATTATGCCTTTTGTGTTTACTACTGCTGTAAATTTACGTTACAGTGAATGGGTCACGCTTTGTTTGGCCCCCGAATCACCTCTTCCCTCCTGAGCCACAGCCAAAAGCTACCCTTCTCTGCCCCTTCTGCCTGTTCCCCCCATGGCCTTCCTGCCCACTGCTCCTGTGCATCCCATGTCGCAGAGCAGGCGTACAGTTGAGGACCCGACGAAGCCCCTGCATCCTACTTCAACGGGGCGCATGATGGTTTTCCAGCCAGCCTCTCTGCGTTCTGCTGCCAAGTCTGCGTACTTTGCATGTCGCCGCTCGTTGGCAGCCTCAATGCCTTCCTCCCATGAGACGGTAAGCTCCACCATTAGAATGGTCCTTCTTGGTTCTGACCACATGATCAAATGTATAACTCTGCATAGATACAGGCAGTCTTAACAGTGAATTTATTTTACACTGTATTTATTTATTTTGTGGTTGATTATATACAATTTAACTGTGTAGCAGTGATTAATAGAGCAGTAATACAATTTTTTTTTTTAATTTCATAGAAATGTATCGCTGATCATCAAATGACCTACGTTCAATACTAAGCTAAATACTCAACCTGCACTGGTCTATGGATGTGGGTGTTAGTAACTGTATCGAAATTACTGTTTTACCTTCCTTTATTGTGTTTTACTTTCATTAAATTACCTGAAAACGATACGCATCTAACTAGTGTTGGGAAGACCGACTCTTTGACTTCCAAAGAGTAAAATGAATAAATCGTCAACGAATCTTGAACAAATCATTTTATTTATTTTACAGCAGGTGGCACTGTAGCCCTATTGTGGGTGTTGTAAAGAAGGCTGCGGTTCTCCAACACTAAATACTGAAGGCAACATGGTTTGCTGACAAAGTCTAATACACAAAATGCCAAAGCAACTTAAACCATGTGAAAACCTAAGAAAGAAAAACAATCGCAGAGAGTGATTCATTCGAAGTTAATGATTCATTTACCTTGATTCATTTGCAATGAGTGAATCATTCGCAGAGAGTGATTAATTTGCAGAGAGTGATTTGTGAGTGATTCATAAGTGATTTGTGAGTGATTTGTTCAATATGAACAAATCTTTCATGACTCGGGAGTCACGAGTCATATGAAAGATTCGTTCATATTGAATGAATCACTTGTGAACAACACATCACTACAGCTAACGACATAGAGCTGCATAGAGACCTCTAGACATAGCAGTGTTCTGTTAACACCTCTGCTTTCTTATGTTTTTTTCATAGCTTTTCCCACTTCTCTGTCCACATAGCTCACACGCTACTCCGTCTGATACTGCAATTGTTATATGTGTATTAATGTGTAATATATTTTCAACGTGCGTTTTTATTAGGCAGAGGGGTTTGCCTAATATTTGCAGATGTTTCTGTCAGGTCTGTCTGTTTCCTGTTCCTGCTGTCTGCTGTGTGGGGTAATCTGTGTTATATCACTCTCCTGTGTCTCTGTAATTAGTCTCACTTGTGTCACCTGGTGCTCTTTATATATATATCTCCATCCTCACTCTGGCCTTGTGGGATCATTGTGTTGTATGGTAGCTGGTCTCTGATGTTCTATCTGTTAGTTGTCAGGTCAGTTCCTGGTCAAGCCAGTTCCTGTTCTCAGTGCTGTGCTTTTGTTCTGATCTTTGGAAGTGAGTTTTTGTGAATTTTGATTTTTTTAAATAAACTACCTGCCCCAGTCCATGTCGATGGCTCACTGTGACTGAATGATCCCACCAACACTGGACCGAGCGGACTGGATAGCTCATGAGACTGATACCTGCACTGCCTGCTTCCTGCCATGTCGATGGCTCACCGTGACAGTTTCTGATTAGTTCAGCTCTACCTTTACATGCCTGTGTCATATGACAGCTATCAAACATAATATCTTCGAAGTTAACATAAATTACTCTTGCTCTTTTCCTTTTTGGAAGATGAGTGAGGCTATTTAGAGACACAGGTGAGTGTGATGACACCAACTCCACCCAGCAGACAAGACAGGAAGGGGAAACAAACAGCCTTAACATTACCAGGGTCAGACAAAAGCATAGCTGTCCAGATTGTTAAATTAGAAGAAATGTGATGAGAGGTCATTGAAACCAGCCACTAGGGTACACGAAGCAGTGTTTTATAGTGCCGGTCCCAAGCCCGGATAAATGGTGAGGGTTGCGTCAGGAAGGGCATCCGGCGTAAAACCTTTAGCCAAATCAAATGTGCAAATCACCAAAACTGGTTAGGAGAAAAAGAGAAAAGATGAAGAATAGAAGTGTTAGTCTGAAGTTTGGAACTTTGAATGTAGGTACAATGACAGGGAAAAGTAGAGAAATAGCTGATGTGATGGAGAGAAGAAGAGTAGATATTTTGTGTGTGCAGGAGACCAGGTGGAAGGGCAGTAAGGCTAGAAACATTGGAGGAGGCTACAAACTGTTTTATCATGGTTCAGATGGGAAGAGAAATGGAGTAGGGGTGATCCTAAAGGAAGAATATGTAAGAAATGTGGTAGAGGTGAAAAGAGAGTCAGACAGGTTGATGTGTGTGAAGGTAGAAGTAGAAGGAGAGATGATTAATGTTGTTAGTGGTTATGCCCCACAGGTGGGCTGTGAGTTGGAAGAAAAGGAGAAGTTCTGGAAGGAGCTAGATTGGATGGTAGAGAGTATCCCCAGGAGAGAGAGAGTGGTGATTGGAGCAGACCTAAATGGTCATGTAGGGGAAGGGAACAGAGGAGATGAGGAAGTGATAGGCAGGTTTGGTGTTAGGGAGAGAAACGTAGAAGGACAGGCAGTGGTAGATTTTGCAAAGAGAATGGAAATGGCTGTGGTAAACACATATTTCCAAAAGAAAGAGGAACATAGGGTGACTTACAAGAGTGGAGGCAGGTCCACACAGATAGATTATATTCTATGTAGAAGATGTAATCTGAGGGAGATTAGAGACTGTAAGGTGGTGGCAGGTGAGAGTGTAGCCAAACAACATCGGATGGTAGTGTGTAAAATGACGATGGAGGTGACAAAAAGGAAGAGAGTGAAGACAGAGCAGAAGATCAAGTGGTGGAAACTAAGGAAAGAGACATGTTGTGAAGACTTCAGGAAGGAAGTAAGGGCAGTTCTGGGTAGTGTTGAGATATTCCCAGATGATTGGGAGACTACAGCTGCAGTGATGAGGGAGACAGGTAGGAAGGTGCTAGGTATGTCCTCTGGGCAGAGAAAGGAGGACAAAGAGACCTGGTGGTGGAATGAGGAGATCCAGGAGAGTGTGCAGAGAAAGAGATTAGCGAAGAAGAGATGGGACAGTGACAGAACAGAAGAGAACAGACTGGAGTACAAAGAGAGGACAAGGGAGGTGAAGAGGGAAGTGGCCAAGGCCAAACAAAAGGCATATGAGGAGTTGTATGAGAGTTTGGAAACAAAGGAAGGAGAAAAGGAGTTGTATAAATTGGCTAGACAGAGAAATCAAGCACGGAAGGATGTGCAGCAGGTGAGGTTGATTAAGGACAGAGAGGGGAATGTGATCACAAGTGAGGAAAGTGTGCTGAGAAGATGGAAGGAATACTTTGAGGAGTTGTTAAATGAGGAAAATGAAAGGGAAAGTAGAAACGAGGAGCCAGAGACTAGTAGGAAGAAGGTAGATCAGGTTAGAAAGGATGAAGTTAGAAAAGCCCTGAAGAGGATGAAGAGTGGAAAGTCAGTTGGTCCTGATGACATACCAGTGGAAGTATGGAAGTGTTTAGGAGAAGTGGCAGTAAATTTCCTGACTGGTTTGTTTAACAGAATTTTAGAGACTGGCAAGATGCCTGATGAGTGGAGAAAAAGTGTTCTGGTGCCAATTCATAAGAAGGGTGATGCAC